AATCGCTACCTTATCGTGGTGGAGGGGTTTGTGTGTCCCAGGGATCCCAGGGGCTATGTTGTCTGGGGGCTTTTGCCCCCTGGTAGGGTCTCCCATGGCAAATTGGTCCTGGGTGAGGGACCAGACAAAGAGCGATTCAGAAGACCCTTATGAGAAAAACATTAAGGGAACAGTTTACCCTGCCTGGGATAGGGTTACCAGGGCCCCGCCCTGGAGCCAGGCCCGGGAAGGGTGCCCGAGGGCGAGCATCTGGTGGCTGGGCCTTAGTCCATGGGGCCCAGCCGGGCCCAGCGTGAAAAGGGGACATGGGCCCATCCTCCCGCAGGCCCACCACCCGCAGGAGGCGCCGTAGGGGTCGGGTGCATTGTGTGCCGGGCAGGAGGCCCTGGCGGACTGATCCCCGGCTATCAAGACTGGCACTTGCATGTTTTACATCATCAAATCAAATTTACTGTAGATCAAACAAGACCTCAGTACATTTAAAATGCAGATTTTAAATGATGATTTTCATTAAGGAAAAAAAAACTCTACCTAATAATGGTTGTTCCACCACTGGCACCAATGAGTCTTTAACATCACAGTGGGGGAATTTTGGCCCACTGTTTTTTGCAGAATTGTTTTCATTCAGCCACACTGGAGGGGTTTCAAGCATCTCAATGGATTTTAAGTCTGGACTTTTATGAGGCCACTCCAAAAAATTAAAAAAAAATTTTTTTTGAGTCATCCAGAGGTGGATCCAGATCTTTGTCCTTCTGTATAACTTGAGTATGCTTGAGCATCAGGCAATGAACTGATAGCCGGACTTTCTCCTTCAGGATTTTCTGATACAGCGCAGGACTCACGGTTCCATCAATTACAACAAGTCGTCCAGGTATTAACCACCTTACTACCACCACCATGTTTAACTGTTAGTGTGATGATCATTTTATGAAATGCTGTGTTAGTTTTATGCCAGATGTAATGGGACTCTTTTGGTTTTTGAAATTAAATTAATTACAGGAAATTATAAGTCATCATTTAATAACAGGGAGCAATTACTTTTTCAGATTGGGGCACGTAGGTTTGGATAACTTTTTCCACTTAATGAATGAAACTATCATTTAAAAATACAAGTGGCCATTAGTACTACCCCTCAGCCTCCTAATACGCTCATGTGGTATAAATTTGATAATCCAAGGTGATTTTCAGAAAATGTGATGCTTGATCTTTCCTTTGAGCTCAAGGTAGATGAGATTTGTAATAGATGCACCTAAGCTATGAATTTAAAAACCCTACGTTGCCTCATTCTTAAGTTATTGTGTTCAGAATCATAGGTCCACGCATCCACCCGGGAGGGTGATGATAACTCCCCGTCAAGCGTTTAAGGCAGAGAGGTAAAAACTATGTTTTGTATTACCTGCGTTATCTCTGTATAATATGATGATCTGAAACATGTCGAGATACCAAGAAGGTTGCAAACACCCTTTCAAATTAACAGAAATGTGGAAAATACAATTTGATTTCAGTTGTAATTTCATTGGTTAGTTATTAGATTATGTGTTTTCTGTATAATAACAACACCCCAACAACGCCAGTCCAGTCCATAGCCTTAACAGAGAAAACAGGCCTCTCTCTCCCCAGCTGCCTACTTCATCGTTTCCTTGGACAAAGTCAGCATTCCCGAGCCCCTTGAAAGATATCATCTCTCAAGTATGTCACAAGTCTGCTGCAGGGCCTCCTCCCACTAGGACGTGCCCAAAACCAGTAAGCGTCCAGCTCGGATCAGATAAACTACCTCCACAGCTCCTTTCAAGGTGGGGGAGCAGCCGCTCCTCACCCTACCTCTAAGGGAGAGCACAGATGGTCTTTGGAGCAATCTCACTTCTGCTTGTGTCTGCAGTCTTATTCTTTCGGTCACGGCCCGCAGCTCGTGGCAATAGGTGATGGTATGAATACAGATCGACCAGTAAATTAACAGCTTCACGCCAACACTCAGGTCCTTTCACCATAACAGAGTGTTCCAGCGTTACTGCAGACATCTGCAGTAAATAAATGTAATACTTGCTTGTTGAAATACTTGGGCGGTCACAGACTATGTTCTGATATTATAATTTAAAATACTTTTCCTTTTTGGGCACACCTCTGTAAGGTACACAAAGTCACCAAAGTATAACAGATGCATTCAAGTAGGGACAGATGTGGGATTTTAGTGTACTGCTTTTTCTTAAGAGTGTAGGGGATAAACTAGAATAGAATTAGTATTAAGGATTATCATGAGTGACAGCAACTGGAAAGTGGTGACAATTCAAGCTTCCTACGCATGTGAACAATGAATTAAGACAATAAAGCACACAAACCACCCGAAGACTCAGTGAAGGTGCAAAAGACCAAAACAGAAATATTGGCATACTGACGCATTTATATTATCCTGATGTTCCCCATCAACAGAGAGGGACAAATTTTAAGAAGCACATAAATAGAAGGCCAATAGGTGTCAAGTCTTGCATTAAATTTAGGAGAATTGATGTTAAAATACTGAAGCTGCATCTTTCTTCTCTTATCTTGACAATCATCACAACCTAAATCTGTCAGCGGCCTCTCTCTTGGCAGCTTTTTCTTTCTTTTTATACCTCCCCAGAAGTATGATTTTTCTGGTTGATAACAGTATTTATTTAACAGAGAGAATTCCTCCTTCACAAAAATATCAAACAGTTGGCTAATTTCACCTTCTGCATTACATTTTAAGGTGCTTCCAATGAGGAGGATGTTTAAATAAAAAAATGACAAAAACAAAAAGGGGGGATTGTGTCACATGCTGTAATAGCAGCTCTGCTGTGATATTAATGATCAGACCTGATGCAAAGTACATCTTCTCATTTTCCCTCTGCTGTGCTGACAAACTATCTGCAGCAAATTCACTTAAATACTTTATAAACCGCAGACTAGGTGACATTCAGTCTTCAAAGACAAGGTGAACGCACTGTAGGATTAAAAATAAATAAATAAATATAGACCAGCATATTTATACAGAGCACTTGTCGCTCTCCTCCTCTCAGTCTCCTCTTCATTAGCTTCCATTCACCTTCCTTTGTCTCTATGCACTGAGCTCTTTATTCCCTGGAGAACATCTATTCATTTGGTGGTTGGGGTGAGTACACTGTGGTTAGTGAGCCGTCTGAATAAAGGAGGCTGGCTTTAATCCCCCTTTCACTGTGGAAACAGGCGGTTTGTCTGTGATAGTGTAATCACGGAACGAGCTCTCTGGATTACCAAATGAGCAGAAGAGGTTCGGCGGATCAGCAGACTAAAGCGCAGATGAGGCCGTGCTAGGTTGTCCTGGTTATACATAAGATCTTAGAAGCATGTTAGGCACTTGAAACTTTAGACCAGCTTCTGACAGATGCTTTATCCTCGTTGTTCTGGCCTTTAGTTTAAGACTATTCAGGGAAGTCTTAAACTAAAGGCCATGAGAAGTTCAGGGAAGCAAAATCAATCTATGATTCAGTGAGAACTGACCTGGTTCACACTAAAATATCAGCAATTAATGGGATTTCCTGACTACTTCCTTTTTCCAAAATATTCATATATATGTAAAAGTATATATCTGTACTCTAAAAAGCCTGAAAGTCAATATTAGGTATGCCTAAAGCCCGAACTCTTTCAGGCAAGTTTTTTGTTGTCATTTCTTTAAGCAGTCTTAAGGAATAGTTCTCCAGACGTCTTGTAGGACATTCAGAGTTTTTCTTTGGATGCTTGTTCTGTTCACTAATAATGAGGTACAGGCTCTGAGGAGGTAGTTCAAGGCTGATAGTGTTTTCTACCCAGATATGCTTTTTGTTTGGGATCATTTTCATGCTGATAGATGAAGCTGTTGCCAGTCAAATGCTTTCCAGGTTATATTGTGTGCTCGCTCAATCTAACTGTACTTTTCTGTGTTCATAATTCCATCAAATTGGACAAGCTCTCTAACGCAGTAATACCAAACCTGACCTTATCAGTAAGTACTGATGCAAATTTGAACCTAAAATTTCAAATTTGGATTCATTGCTCCATAAGACATGTTTCCAATTATTTTCAGTCCAGTTCTTGAGTAATCTGGCAAAACTCACCTTTCCTCCTTTTCCTCTTCGTGAGAGTCACCTTTGTACTTAAACCATTTCTTAGAAAGCTTCAGTGAACAGTAGTTCCTGTCTCAGGTCAGTGCTGGATTTTTTTTCTATTGCTTTAGGTGTTTTCAGATACTGTTCATATGCTGTTGAAAGCTTTTCAGGCCTGCCACTATTTCTTGTGCCCTTCCCTTGTAGTTATTTGTCACAAAGTACACAACACCCTTTGTGTAATAACTGCCGATGTGGAACTTATGAATGGAGGGAATTAATTATTGATTTAAGAAAGCGTGTGCATGAACTTTCAAGGCAAAACTCCACAAACAGAAACAGAGGTATAGATGAGATGTTACGATTACCGCAGCACTTTCACTTTGGCCTCAAAAGGAAGAATTCATCAGATGCTGTTGAATCCTGACAAAAACTCTAACAGAGTCATTTAGTAGCTGTGTGAAAAGTACATCAGTTCACACCTGAAAACAGTCAATTTTACTCTGAGAGGATTTTGAATAATCACTTTTCAAAGGTCTATGGACGTTAACAGAGACTTTAACACTGGGGGCTTTAACACTGGATTGAGCTGAAAAGCTGCAGAGCCCACCAAGACTAATGCTCTGTCACAGTCAATGGTGGAAGCAGCAGGACCCGTGTGTGTGTGTGTTTACGTGCATTTGTGTGTGTGTTTAATCTACTAACAGCAGGAAATGAAAATAAGTAAATAAAAAGACAGAAATTACCCATCTGTTCTCAATTTCATACTCTGTTAAAAGAAAAGATGAAGACGAAGGATGCTATTGTTGCTTTTCCATTTAAAATACATACACACATTCTTGTTTTTCTATCTTACTGAGGACATCTAATTGACATCTAATTTTTGGTCCCCACAAAGACATCTAAACCGGTACACACACACACCTGAGTGTTTCAGTCCATTTGAGCTCCAGCTCCAGAGCCATCTTGTCCATCTTATGTTTTTCTTCTTCTTTGGTGGTGATGAGTTTGGCTTCATGCTGACGTTTTTGGGTCTCCAGCTCTCCCTGAGAGAAGGACACATTGGCTTCAGTCCACCATTGCAGTCTAAATCACATGTTACACTTAAACTCTGTGGTGTGCACATCACTTAAGATTCTCAACAAGTTTTGACCTGCCTAGCTGAAGTTTTGGTCTGACGTGCATGCTGTCTAAATGCCAGTCATGCACACATTCACAGCACCTGCAAGCTAAAGAGCCAGCTAACAAGGGAAGCAACAAAAAGGAAAAGTTGCTGAAGGCAGAATAATTTCAGCAGTGGTGCGAGACTGAGCAGCCTACGCCTTTACTGAGTGCAGAGAGAGAGACCCGTGTATTCACCATTAGACACTTTCTGTTTTCAAAGACTATGATTTGCATCATTACTATTTTGTCTTTTCTGTCTTTATGGAACTTTCTACACATATATTGCGCTCTCATGTTCAGGCCCGTTAAACAGCCTGTGCAAAATTCTGAAAAATGTTATAAAGTTACTTCTTTGCTTTTACATCAGCATACATTTGGTCTTATTGAATTTCTCTGCACTACCTGCTCGTTAAACAGGTTGTCGTGAGTTGACTGTGCTGTAACCTTTGTGTAGAACTGTGATGTTTGGTTTTTCTTAGCAAACTAAGGTTTATGGGGACCAACTGTGTCTGACAAGGCAGAACGGAATGCATGTTCTTAATTACAGGGTGTAAATAAGCTACAAATTTTCAGGTGCCCCAGTGTGCACCTTAGTGAAACCAAAGTTATGAAATTTATCTAAATTAACTTTAATCTCAATGATGGTGTCAGTGGTCAATCTGCATGCCCAAAAACAAGCTGAGTCAGATGTTTCCTGCACTGGATCCTCCATACTCTATGTAAAGGATAATGTGAGGAAATAGGCTAAATGAAAATATGATTTATGCTTTGTAGATGTTAATTTTGTGAACTGCTCTCCTTCTTCTCATTCATCTCTCAGGTTGATTCTGTTCATCTGGACGTAGCGTTTCCATCCAAGTGACTTCTTCAGTCTCAGCTAACTGCAGGTTTCCCCAACCTTATAAACAGTACATTAGCATAATGACTGAAACTAGCACCACAGAATGAATATAATATACAAATTAACATACAAATTAATATACAAATTGTCATGACCATTGATCAACAGCTACTGATCAACAACCACTGATCAATGACCACTGATCAGTGGCGATGAATACCACTCACAGAGAGTTGGGGAATGGCTGCAATCACAGCATTTTAAGATGGTGAAAGATGTACCCTTAGGCCCCCTCCTCAAATCAGAGATGTTCTTTCCCTTTTCACATAAATTGCCTCTTTGACTCTCCGCTCAAACCAGCATTCCTCCCTGTCCAGGATGTGTGCATCCTCATCATTGAAAGAGTGTAGACTGAAAGCCTGTAGGTGTAAATAGGTGCGAGTTAGCTCTTCTGTGTTGTGCCATCCGCTTTGCCAGAGGTTGTTTGGTTTCCCCGATGTATAAATCATGGAAATCTTAACAGCGTACACTACATTACTCTGTTTGTGCTGGGAGACCCGATCCTCAGGATGGGCCAATTAGTGGTGCAGCATGTTTGGGGGTTTGAAAGCCATAGAGATGCAGTGTTGAGAGAAAACGCGTCACAACTGTTCCGATACTCCTGACAAATAAGGGAACACTAAGGGTTTTCGCTTAGGCAGCAGTTGTTTATAAGGTTGGGGAAACCTGCAGTTGGTTGAGGCTGAAGAAGTCACTCGGATGAGTGATGAAATGTTTCTCCCACTGAAAACACTACGTCCAGATAAACAGAATCAAGCTTTTGGGATTTCCTCACCTGGATGTTTGACCATGCATCAAGATGTTTGAGGTTAAGTATGCTGTTGTAAAGTTCAGTGCCCAGGCTGACGTGTGCTTTGTTTGCCTGACCTGCAGTGCAGTCAGCAGGTTGCTGGTCTCTCTCAGTCGGGCCCGTGTAGCATCCAGCTCCTCCAGCAGCTTGTCCTGCGCCTCCTTCAGTGTGGAGATCTGCCCCTCAGCTGTTTTAATATCATTCTCCCCCTGCTGTACTTCTTGCTGCAGCCGAGACACCTGCAGGGAGGACAGACAGACAGAGTGAGGCAGAGAGAATAGACTCTGTCCACACCCGCCTCTCTGTTACACTTCAGGCTGTAGCTCAGTGTGGCACCAACCTTGAAACTACATCAGCATTTTAGGCTCAGCGAGGTGGAATTTCCATCAAAAATACATTCAATGACTGTTTCCATTTCAGATTTTTAAATGAGCCAAGCCCATATACTTTTTTTGCTAACATAGCAAAATAGTTTTGCAATGCATCACATATTAATTTCCCCAAATGTCTGAAGTAGTGGCTAAAAATGTTTGCATAAAGTACCCCAGAAAACAACAACAAACAGTGGCAGCAGATTTATACTGAGGAAACCTTGAAACTGAAAACCATTTACTGATTCAGTGTTTTAATATGCAATCAATTTAATTCATTCATAATCATTTGAGCTAAACTCTCATCGTTATTCTTTCTTATTCAGCTACTTTACTACACAAGTACTAAAGTCTTGTTGTTTTACAGCAGAGCTGATCTGACCTGCTCAGGTGCAGTCAGGTTCAAAAATAATTAAAACTGAAGCTTTGGGTTTAAAGTTTTATAAAAAGAAATCTCGAACCCAGTTACCTCCTCTCCTGGGCTCAGTTTGAGTTTACAAGCTCTATTTTTTCACACACTTAATTTTTCTGTGTCCTTTAAGAGCGACGGAAGCTGTGACTCTTAGAAGCGATCCTCAGCTCATTTTTCAGGGGCTAACATGACTGAAATGTGTTTTTATTTCAGCTTAAAAACAGCAAGCAGTTTTTAACACTCTGGGAACACATTTTTTGAAAAGCTCAAGATTCAGATGTAGGTTTCTTAAACTTTCTGTGGTGAGAAAACTGACCAGAAGTTAAAACAACTGTAATAGTATATGTGTGTATTTAAAAAAAAATCTAAACTTTTACCAAAGTGTGGACATACTTAAAGAAACTCCATGTGCTCAAGGACATCGCTTTATCTGATCTCAAGAACGGGCACTAAAAAGATTTAAAAGGTCAAGAATAAAATTTAAACCTTACAGTTTTTCTTCTTTCCATTAAGATGCTTCTGATCTGTTTTCAAAGTGTTCCTTTAACTTTTTTGAGCAGCGTATTTACACAATATATTGTTTGCACACTTGAACAGAAGTTTTACAAAGTCAATGTGTCGTACCTCCTCAGTGGCCGCATTGAGTTTGGACGTCAGCTCCTCCCTCAGCTCATCCAGCTGCTGCCTGAGCAGCGTCTTCTGCTCCTCCAGTGACTGACGCTCCCTCTCAAACTGCTGCTCCAGCTCCTGTGGAGAACGATCAATAACACAACACTGTCAAAAACAACAGGGAAACTTAGAAAGCCAAAGTGAGCTCAAGACCTTGGATGAAATGTTTTTGCGCCTGAAGATTCCTTGAACCCTTATCTGTTTCCCTCAGATAAGTGACTCACATAAAGGGGAAACGGTACGAGTCGTGCATGATTTAGTTGAAGGTCGAAGTTAAATTTAATCAGTATTCACGGTATTTAGCGTCTGTAAAGATTTTGAGTCATACAGGTAATGCAATATCTGAGAGACGAGTCAGGGCAGAAATTATTCATAATTCAGATGAAATCTTGTTAAAAACGGTCACGATCAAACAGCAAGTCATTTTTCCACTAACCTACTGAGTACCAATTAATCTAAAATATAGCAAAAGCTGCAAAACCGAAGGCCAACATGAACAACCTTGGGCTCAGTGAATAGGAGACACTTGAGAGGAATTTGAAATACAACAAAATCGGCATAACTGTGCCACCAGTCCATTATAAGAAATGAAAAACACCAGCAAATACTTACAATTTTACATCAGGCTAATAAAAAAACAGCTTTATAATGAGCCAGGAAACATTGATGTTACTGCACATGTTCTACATACTCCCACCTAAAACTCAAAAAGTTTCAAACTGCATTGAAGCGCAAAAAGTTACAGCAATTATTTCAGTCGTAATAGTCCTGAGTGGCCTCTTCAGTGAATGTACCAGGGTGGAAGAGGTTAGAGAAAACCTTTGCAAAGGTTTTTGTTAGAATTTCCTAACTGAAAGTCAGTTTTGCAAACCACATCTAAAACAATCTAAAAGCCAAGGCAGTCGCTCTTTCATTTAAGAGTTTCACCAAAACTGTGCTATTATACCAAAGTTTTATACCAAAAGTTTAGCAGACATAATCTTTAACATCAGACAAAGTGATGGTAATGGGAACATTACTGTGAGTTCATGTTTACTAAATGAATGTTAGCCGATGTAGAGATGCTGTAGACTTGACGTGTCATTGTTTGCCAGCAAGCTGATGTGGGAGGGAGAGAAAAAATGGAGTCTATACACAGATTATTAAAACAGTGCATACAGCGGTGTTGCACTACACCAGTACTGATAAAAAATTTTAATACTTCATAAAAAACATCAATGTTGTGTTTTAAATACATACATTTGTATTTTGTTTTTGTTTTTTTCCCTTTCTTTATTCAAATCAGGCAACAAAGTATATATCTCATTTACAATGACATAGTTTTTTTTTCTTTTTTCCCCTGTTCCCTTCCCCTCCCCTCTTTTTCCCCTTCCCTTCCTTCCTCTCCCCATCCTTTTTACATAAAATATAATTATCATTATATAAACAATCATATCTATGTCTATACGTACACATTTATTATCCTAAATAAGTATATTCAAAGGAGGGAGAGAGGGGAAAAAACAAAACAAAAAAACAAACGAACCCCCCCCCAAAAAAAACAAAACAAAAAAAAAACAACAACATACATTTGTATTTTGAGTACAAAAAAAGGTGTGGCTGAAGCACATATTAGATAAAGTTTTGTTATGTGGACATTTCTTGTTCCCAGGTCTGATTGTGAGTTCTGAATGACTGAGGTTGAGTTTTTAATTTGGTGTTATAGATTTTTTTTTTAAACTGATTTTTATTTTTGCTTGAGTATTTTGGAGTCTGTAGTACTTGTTATAATTTAGTTTTAGTTTTAGAGTTTAATTTGTTCCCTCAGTATTTCCTGTCTTTGGCTACGTTCACACTGCAGGTCTTAATGCTCAATTCCGATTTTTTGATCAAATCCGATTTTTTTGTCTGCTCGTTCACACTACAAATAAAATGCGACAGCAAACGCGCTCTAGTGTGAACGCTCAAAGCGGCCCGCATGCGCAAAAGAAGATGTCACACACAACGCGCTCTGTTTAGACCCAGAGCAAACAGTATTGTTTGACTGATGGCCCTTAATATAAAGACTTCGGACTTCATGTTTCCCAATTTTTGCTTTAAGTTATTTTGTTATTTACATAATAATGTAAATAACCTAATAATTATCCTTATTGCTGTTTTAGAGGAGCGGTGCTTCAAAGGATAGTTGCAGATTTCTGTCAGAATCTGCAGATTATACAGTACAAATAAAATGTTCACGTTGTCTTCCCAACAGTTTCACTAACATCTACACTGGATGGCCAGGAAGCGTTCACGATGTCTTCGCGGGCGCTTCTCCGGCGCTGATAATTAGCGTCTGTCTTGTGTCAGTGACGTAAAAGACGGATTTAATGCGACATGACCATTCAAACAGCAGTCGCTTTCTAAAACATCGGATATGTATCGGATTCAGTACCACATACGAAAGTGACCCAGATCGGATTTGAAAATATCGGATTTGTGCCGTTCACACTGTCATACCATGATCGGATATGGGTCGCATAGGGTCAAAAAAATCGGATTTGATGCGCTTTCGCCTGCAGTGTGAACGTAGCCTTATTCTCTTGTGTCAACCCACCTTTTATGTGTCTTCATTTCACCATTTAACAATTTTCCCTTTCTGTTTTATTTTGATAGTCTTTTGTCTCTAGTGTCTTGTGTTTAATTTTACTTCCCCTGCTGCCTCACTGCGTTTGATTATCTTCACCTGTGTTTTTTTTAATCTACCCATCCATCCATCCATCCATCCATCCATACTATGTATTTTTTAGACTTTTTCCATCAGCTGAAATAAAAACTTGCTTTTGTTTGATTTAACCTGTCTCCACATATCTACGTTTGGATTCCCTTTACCTGCAGTTCATGACATGACATAAAGTTACATTTCTAAGAAACTACATGTCTACAGTGGAGTTTATATAGCAACACTGTAGTTATGGATTTACTGCAGTGCTGTAAAAAGACAACTCTGAGGCATTAATAAGGTAACTACAATTCATCTACAGGTGTATCTGAACCAGATTTCAGGTCACTCCATCAAACATTTGTTGATACATTTTACAGGTGACTAAAGAAGGATCCAGATCCAGATCCAGAACTTGCCTCCCTCTCTCTCCGTTGTTTGACATTACATTCACTGCATTCATCTGTACAAATTTCTAAATATACTTCAAACATTTTCATTGTCCTTGGCAGTCAGAAGAGAAAGTGCTCTTGCAATTGTCACCACTATAAAGCTTATTATGTCTTCTGATGAATGGGGAATGGTTTCTGTTATACTGAGCGATGATTGCTACTTTCCAAGGACAATTAGAGCTCAGGGAAATTGCTATAATGTCAAATAAAATTTGCCACCGTTATTCATTACACAGGAGGATGGAGTTTGTAACGGCGTGCAAAAACACTCTGACAAGTGTGACAGAGTCCCATAAAAATGAATGGGACTTTAAAAAATGTATTTGAATGGAAGGAAGAGTGAAAAATCACAGTAATTCATGTGTAATGCTTCATGACTTCTTACATTCCACTCTCTGCTTAGAGCATGGAAAGTTTCTCTGTTGTCATTCTGACAAATGTTACAATTGTTAGCTCACCTTGCATAGAAAGTGAATATTTAATGACACAAGAATGCATGTGTAAAAAAAAAAAAACCCTCTGAAATGTGTAATATTTTACACCAACATAACCAGTTAAAACATCACACATTGCTCCACTACTGGCTTCCCACAGCACAAAGGCTCAAATTAGTCTGACAGATGCTGTGAATCCTGCAAAAAACTGAAAATATACCAAAAAGACTTCAAAACATAACCCTAAACTAGAGCTGCATCTTTCTATTTTCTGCCCGGAGCCTGCTTCTGCCCCAGACCCCTGCAGAGAAAAATGAGGGCAAAAATCAGGACACAGAATAACTCTGTAGCAGTATGAGAACTGTATTTATTTTATATGTAGTTTATTTATTTTTTATTATTATAGGACACAATATGCAACATGAACCAAGAGATGCATTTATAGCCAAAGCTAGTCTGCAAGCCCCGTTCCTTGCACAGTAAATACAAACAGTAACAAACAGTGACCAAAGAGTTACACAATCATTTAGCGACAGTATACTGAGAAAATTATACTCACAATAGTGGGGAATAAGTGAGCCTACATTCACTCAGTGCCAATAAATTATGGTCCCTCCTTTTTGTGCCATTAAAAGGAGACTTCACCAACTATTCAGCTGCAAACCATAAAACAAAAACATTAAACTGAATATGGCACAATGACTCATCAGCCATCACAGTAAGGTAAGAACGACAGTCTTTCTGGGAGTTCTTACAGATGGCTGAAGAGGCCACAGTCTGGGCATAAGATGTGGTACATTTGTGCTGTGCACCAGTGTTAGAAAGGGGAGCTGGTGTGGTTGCTAGAAAGCATCTCATTATCACAGGGCATATGCAGGTTTCTACAATTTATGGGACTCTGGGGGCACACAATCGGTGAGAGCCTGCACTCCAGGGCCAACTGGGTCAACAAGCCAGCCTGGTCGAAATAAGGAAAGGGACATCTCGCCTTCCATCAAAGGCTGAAAACTTCCTGTATTTGCAGAAACAGCCGCCAATACAGAAGGATATACAGGAGGAGGTAAAATTGTATTTGACCAGATGCGTTCTGACCGTGTTCGTGATCCAGCCTCAGTTTGCTGAATTTACAAGAAACCTAAGAATTGGGGGGGCACTTTAGCTCTAACTTTTAAAAATCCTTGGGGATTCTCACTATACTCAAGTAAGTATTAAGAAAAAACATTGAAGTATTTCAATACTTCAAAGAAAACAAAAACTATCTTCTAGATAAAAAAACATTTGTTTTAAAGTCCAACTTTTTTACTATTATTTAACCTTAAAAATCAGAGGATATTGTGTGAATTGCAGACTGTTTGGTGCTGAAACAGACAAAGTCAAATGGTGCAAAAAATAACAAAGAAATAAGAAATAATAAGAGAGAAGGAAATAATAAAGACATATCTATAGGCTCCATAGACTGTATATAAAAGATGGACAGAGCTTCCAGCTCTCATAAAAGAAGCAAAGACCTGC